CTTTAAATAAAAAATCTTTGCTAAATATACTTTAATCACAGAATAATAAACAAACAGAATACCCACTCTCCACGGAAAATTAAGTACGCGCATCTCCTCCGCGCAGACGTTCCGCCATGTTTTACGAGGATTTTAAAGGGAACCAGTGTTGTTTATGTGGTGTGCATGGAAAAAAAAACCAGGTTTATTTGACTTACGGCAATCATACACATACTATACAATTATATTAACAGTTTTAAATATAATAACATAAATATAATATAATTAAACATAAATGTAAAACAATTGCATAAACCTCACAAATCATATGTTGTGTCCTCCTAAAACATGGCGCGCGTGCTGAAAAACTTCAAAGCGGCATCTGAGAGTGGCCCTTCTGATTCTTTATTATTCTGTGCTTTAATAATATAAACAGTGTAAAAGTGAGGTTAAAAACAGTCGATTTTTTAAATAACCGTAGAAAATCGGTTGGTTACTTTTGACAGATCAAAAACAGTCGGTTCCAATCAAATAATGGTTGGTGCAACATATTTCAAAATAAACGGGGAATCCAAATCAAAAAATCAATCGTTTATTAATTTGTTGGTGCAACTGGACTCGTTTAAGTCTATCATTTATTTCTTTGTTCTCATTGAAATGGACTCACACTCACATTTTAACAAAATAATAAAAAATAGTAAATCGCATAAAAGTTTTTAATCGGAAATGCCCAAAGCGTCAGAACTGTTTCTAAAATATTACTGGTTGCATAAGTATAAGCAGGGGTAATCATTATAGAGACTATTAAATGTAACCAGTTTTAATATGCAAAAATTTTAACGCTAAAATGAATAAGTAAATAGTCTTTTATTTAATAAATTACATATTAATTTTAGTTAATAATATTTATTTATTTAATTGTATATTTTAGTTTTGCCATCTATACCTATGTCACTCGACCAATTTAGAATTTTGTTTCAACCACAAATCAGTTATACCCGGTTCGCTATTCCCAGTCCGAACTGTCTAGTGATTTTAGTAATTATTTTTTTGCGAAGTTAGTTACTTTTTGACAGACTCGAAGTGGCTGGAAATTACTATACAACCAAGCATACGTACTCTTAGTCAATATTAATGTAAACAAAAGTAAATAAAATAGAACTTTACCGACAATCAATATTTATTTATTTACACCGTATAATGTATTGATAACAAATAATAAAATTATTTATTGTACAAAATAAAAAAAGTGGGAATAAATTCTACAAAATTAAAAAGTCAAAGTGAGGTTAAATAAGACACAGCAAGTTCCTTATGTTGTGACTAGGATGGAATCAATGATTAAAGATTAACAGTTCATTGAATAGCATTAACATAAACTGTTGTTTTATTATCTTACAAAATAAGTGTACTTCCATATGCTAAAAGCAAATATTAGTAATTTGACTAGGCAAATTCGTGGTTCAATAGTAATTTTTGCTCATTAGCATATTTGAGGATGTTAAAATCTTCCACATATGGTGAATGAATTCAGTGTCCTGGCCGCAGGCTGCAGTCATATAAACCCAAACAAACAACAAAAACCTCCATGTAGGTATAAACAAGTTTATATTAAATTAGAAATAACTAATCTAAAAATATTAACTTTTAAAAAACATTTTATCATATTTATTAAGAAAAACTTACCAACGCATTAGCTGATGGAACAAATGGAAAACTTTGAATATCCATAATAATAAAATTTAAAATATAACTAACTAATTAACTGAATAGAACTAACAAAATAATTAAACAAAGATAATAAAACTATATTAGATTAAATAAACAACGCGAATAATACAAATATTTACTACAATATTTTAAATTGTAACAATTCAAATATTATATTTTAAATATACAGGGAAAATTTGATGGGTTTAGTATACACTTCCACTATTTAGAATAATTCTTCTTTTTTTCTAAGAAAGAAGTCTGCAATAATAGTATACTTGAGCTATTAATACTGAGAAGTAGGAATTGTTGTGTTGTAGGTTTCCTACAATGAGTCTGTCAAAATATGCCCTAGCTAAGCGAATAGACAATATTATTGGTCTGTGGTTTCTGTGGGTCTACTTTATTATTGTGCCATCTAGGGAGAAATGTATATACTTCAAAATAAATTAAATTAGTTCTGTATAAATGTCCATATTGACAGAATAAATTTGGGAAAGTAAATATTCAGTAAAATAAAATTAAAAAGTAGTGGGGCAAACAATATGTTTGCCCCCACTACCTTTACATTCCCTCTATTGTCTTTTTGCTCGATGGTTACGTCACAGGAGTACACAAGAATACAAAACCCATTTATTCGCGATTGAAACTGAATGTAGAGGGCAGGTCGATTGCAGTGTCATGGCCGATATAAATGTTATAAACAAAAACAAACATAACATTCGAATATTTACCATTGCTTTTCCATGTTTAGTTTGGTTTAAGACGAGTTATTTACATCATTTAATAATGGAAATTAACCTTAATGATATCTTTGAGT